CTCCATTCTTCGTTTCAGAGATAGCCGTTTTTGCTGGGGCTACGGACTGAACAATACTTGAACCTATAAATTTGTAACTTATTACCTTACAAAATTATAAGGTTTATAAGACGTTTAAGTCTTGTTCAGTCCGTAGCCTCAAGACAAATACGTGCAGAAATAATTTGTTAGCGTGTAGATTTGCCTCATCTCGCTGTCATTCATGTATGCGAATGGCTGTTGAGAAACCCAACCCGTCCGTCTTCAGTTATAAATTTCAAGGAATATTTAATGCTAATGTATTTAGTGAGTTAGCCGTACGTACCGAAAGTAAAATTATAAGTTTTACGAGTGGACCGCTGCAAGGCTTCAGACTTTTTTCTCAGTTAAATTTAACATACAGTCGGCAAGGAGGCGAAGATGACTGACGTCCACCAAAACATAGGTTTTGTCGAGACGTTTTTGATAACCGCTGTAATTTTACTAGGCTTTTGTACATTATGCTTTTATTTTCCCACCAAAATGCTCCACCTTAATGCTCCATTTTTCCCACTAAAATGTTCGGTCTCCTCCCAGAAAGTCACTAAAATGCATGCTTGGTTAATTCTCATACATAGGGTTTCTTAAATTTTAATAATTTTAAAGTTTTAATACAATTAACAGCTCAGGGCGCTTAAAAAAAATAAAAAAAATTTAAAAAAAAATTAAAAAACGTATACGTAGTATAACGCAACGTTTTTAATAGTTTTAAAGTGCCACTAAACCCAATTTTTTTTTCCTTTAATAAAGTCTACTAGTTTCCATGATTATTTCAGCGAAAAAAAGTATCTCGATTGTTTAAATCCCTGCGTTTCTACAGGCGTTTAAACATGTTATTTCTATGTTCACGACCGCGCAAAGTGGGATCTGGGTCGAGCTTCTGGTGACGTCACTTCGGGAACCGGGCTAAAACACTCAAGAGACTTTTGACTGAGCTTCGAGGGCTGTCAAAACATTTTTGGGTTATTTGTGATTCATATTTTATCAAAACTGGACAAGAACTTTTAAGTGGAAGAACTGTATCATCTAGCATTACAATTCGGAGTCTAGCTACGATTTGGACGGCTGCGATGTACATATATTTTTTTATATATTTCGAAGTGCGGGTCGCCAGTCGAGATCGCCGCGTTGTATAATTATATTTAGGCCGGAATCGACAATTTGCTGGTCCGTTTGGGTTATAAAGGTACAAATGATGACTGAAGAGTTAGCTTACAGCTCTTGAGTTTTTTAATTAATGAGTGAATAAAACGGTCAACTGTTCAGTATTTTAACGCAACGGTAAGACTTCAAGGACAACAGTAAGTTTTAGTTGATTCTGATTATATTTATTTCTTTATATTTGTTTTTAACAGTTTGCTAGAGGATATCTGGGATTACGGCGGACGTGCCCCCAGCCGCGAGCGATGATGGACGCCTGTATTCGCAGGCTACTTTTTCTGTAAAGAATCAAGACATTTTAAATGATGACGCATTGCATTTTAAGCTCGCAAGATCTGTCTTGAAGATCGCATCATTTGAATTCGCCAACCTTAAGCATTTTAACTCCACTTTCATGAATTTAAAAATTGCTAGGCTAGTTTTGAACGCGAAATGCGAAATACTCGTGTTCACGTCAGTAATTGCATTGTGATGAACAAAATATAGTTCACCTTGTCGCTTATATTTATATACTTTCAAGTAATGAAGAAATATCTAAAAATGAGAAAACATACCTTTAAAAACATCTGCAAGTTTCTCTAGTCCCTGACGGACAAGCCATTGTTCGACAAACGCCTCGTCTTTCCCGATGAAGTCATCAAATGGCACTTTCCAAAACACGTGTGTCGAATGCCCGGGAGTCGCCCCGGGGTACGCAAATGCCCAGCCCCC